GGCAGACGCCCGTATCTTGCCCCCTCCGCACCTGGGCGCCGCCCCTGGCCTAGCACTCACAGGTTCGTTTTCTGGGAGAACGTGAGGCTCCAAATCCTAATTTGGGGGAGGAGCGGCGCTCTAGGGCCCGCCCTCCCCATGCCCCCGCTGCAACCCTGTCCTCGGTTAGTTCTGACTCCCCTCCTCCTCAGGGCCCCCCAAAGTCCATCCTCTTCTTAGCCCTATAGCGCACCCCCCGCACCCCGATCCTACACGCCCCCTCCCCGGGAACCCGCACTCCATTCCCCTCCTCGCCACTGCAGCCACTAAAGGGTTACGGCCAGGACGGGCGGCGCCCAGGAGCGCGCTGGGAGCCGCTGGGAGGTGTAGTCCTTCAGGGAGGCGATAGCGAGTCCTCGGGGTGGGGTCCCCGAGCTGGGGGGCGGGGGGCTTCCGGGCTGTGGGGCAGGGTTCGGGGCAGTTACCTGGCTGGGAGGTGGCGGAGGAACCTGACTTCCCACTGCCTGGCGCCGGCGGGATGCGGGCGCAGGTCTCAGGCTCCGGGTCGCCGCTGTCTCTGCGGTTAGGGGAAGTCACCCAGCTAGCCTGGGACAGGGTCGGCACCCCCAGGAGGAAACAGCAGCGACGAGCCAGAGCGGAGTCGCTTGCAGGTGCGCGCAGGGCGTGCACAGGTGCGCGGTACGCGCATGCCCTAGGGACTCGGTGGGGACTCTAAGCACCAACGAACAGTCAGACCTAACTCATAAACAAACATCATCACTGCCGGCCCGGTCAGAAGTGCAGCCAAGCAACAACAACAACAAAAAAGGCGGGGAGGCAGACCCATTTCAGATGGTTGTGTTGGAGAGAGTCTCTGACATCAGAAGGCACCAGCCCGCAAAAAGGAAGAAACCCGACATGTTGGGCGGAAGGAACCGCCAGTGAAAAAGCCCTGCGGCGAGAAAGAGATTGGTCACTGAAAGAACTCAAAGAAGTAGCTGGAGTGTAGCTGCGGGTAGTGATGGGAGGTGAAGATAGAGAAGCAAACAGGACCCAGGTCAGGTCCAGCTTATCCGGGTGTGGTGGTGGGCGCCTGTAGTCCCAGATACTCGGGAGGCTGAGGCAGGAGAATTGCTTGAACCTGGGAGGCGGAGGTTGCAGTGAGCCGAGATCGTGCCACTGCACTCCAGCCTAGCGACAGAGCGAGACTTCGTCTCATAAAACAAACAAACAAGGAAAAACACCCAGAAAGACAAATACCTCATGGTTCCACTTATATGAGGTATCTAAATAAACACATAGAAACGGCAAGTAGAATGGTGGTTGCCAGGAGCTGCCGGGAAGGAGGAAATGGGTAGTAGATATTCAATGAATATAAAGTTTTGGGGTTTTGGCCAGGCGCAGTGGCTGACGCCTGTAATCCCAACACTATGGGAGGCCGAGGGGGGGGTGAATCACTTGAGGCCAGGAGTTCAAAACCAGCCTGGCCAACATGGTGAAACCCCGTCTTTACTAAAACTACAAAAATTCGCTTTGAGATCCTGTCTCAAAAGAAAATAAAATAAAGTTTTAGGTTTTTGTTGTTGTTGTTGAGACAGGTCTCACTCTGTCACCCAGGCTGGAGTACAATGACGCAATCTTGGCTCACTGCAGCCTTGACCTCCCAGTAGCTAGGATTACAGGCGGGAGCCACCATGCCTAATTTTTTGTATATTTTAGTAGAGAGAGGGTTTTACCACGTTGCCAAGACTGGTCTAGAACTCTTGACCTCAAGCGATCCACCCGCCTTGGCCTCCCAGAGTGTTGGGACTACAGGCGTGAGCCACCGTGTCCAGCCTGAAAGTGATTTTCTAATTGTCATTCTTAATATATTTGATAGAATCCATCTGTCAAGTATAGCTTTACCTCATTGACCAAGGCTATTTGGTTATCCTGACTAAAAAGACAGGATAAGCTCTTTTTTATTTTTTATTTTTTTGAGACAGGGTCTCACTCTGTCACTCAAGGCTGGAGTGCAGTGGTGTGATGGTTGTTCACTGCAACCTCGAACTCCTGGGCTCAGGTGATCCTCCAACCTCAGCGTCCTGAGTAGCTGGGACAATGGTGCATACCACCACACCTGACTAATTTTTGGGTTTTTTTTGTAGAGATGGGGTTTTTCCATGTTGCTCAGGCTAGTCTCCTTGTGATTTTTTTTTATCACTTTGTTTATTTCCGGTTTTCATTTTTGTTTCTTCTTGCCCAACTGTGGCTAGTTGAACATTTTTTAGAATACCAGTTTGACTTACCTATAATTTTATTTTTAATTGACAAATAACTGTATACATTTATGGGGTACAGTGTGATGTTTTGTTACATATATATATTATGGAATGATCAAATTGGCTGGGCACGGTGGCTCATGCCTGTAATCCCAGCACTGTGGGCGGCTGAGGCAGGTGGATCACCTGAGGTCAGAAGTTTAAAAACAGCCTGGCCAACATAGTGAAACCCTGTCTCTACAAAATATACAAAAAATTAGCCAGGGGTGATGGTGCATGCCTGTAGCCCCAGCTATTACAGAGGGTGAGGCAGTAGAATCACTTGAACTCGGGAGGTGGAGGCGGCAGTGAGCCGAGATCACTCCACTTCTCTCCAGCCTGGGCAACACAGTGAGACTCCATCTCAAGAAAAAAGAAAAAACAACAAAAAAAGATCAAATCAGGCTAATTAGTATATCTATTACCTCAAATATCATTTATTTGTGATGAGAACATTTAAAACCCTCTTTTAGCTATTTTGAAATATACATGGTTATTAACTAGTCACTACGCTGTGCAATAAACCACCAGAACTTCCTCCTCCTAACTGGAACGTTGTACCTTTTGACCACAACCCACCCCTCTCTCCTCCAGCCTCTGCTAACCACCATTCTACTGTCGACTTCTATGAATTTAGCTTTTTTTTTCTTTTGAGACAGGGTCTCAGTCTGTTGCCCAAGCTGGAGTGCAGGAGCACTATCATGGTTCACTGCAGCCTTGACCTCCCTGGCTTAAGCAATCCTCCCACCTCAGCCTCCCAAGTAGCTGGTACTACAGGCATGTACCATCACACCCAGCTAATTTTGTTTATTTTTTATAGAGACAGGTTTGCCATGTTGCCTAGTCTGGTCTCAAACTCCTGGGCTTAAGCGATCCTCCCACCTTGGCTTCCCAAAGTGCTGGGATTACAGGCACGAGCCACTGCCCCAAGACTTCTTTTCAATTCCAGGCGTAAGTGAGGTGATGTGGTATGTGTCTCTGTGCCTGGCTTATTTCACTTAGCATCATGTTGTCTAGGTTTATCCATGTCACAAATGACAGGACCTTCTGCTTTCTAAGGGCTGAATAGTATTCCAACGTCTATATATACTTTTTTTTTGAGACACGGTTTCAGCTCTGTTACCCAGGCTGGAGTGCAGAGGTATGATACAGCTCACTGCAGTCTCAAACTTCTGGGCTCAAGCGATTGATCCTCCCGCCTCAGCCTTCCGAGTAGCTGAGACTACAGGCATGCACCACCATGCCCACCTAATTTTTTATTTTTTTGTAGAGACTGAGTCTCCCTATGTTGCTCAGGCCAGGCACAAGGTCTAAAGCAATCCTCCCACCTCAGCCTCTCAAAGTGCTGGGATTACAGGCATGAGCCACTGCACCTGGCCTTTAGTTATTATTTCTTTGAATACTTTTTCCATTCCACTCTCTTCCTCCTTAACCTTCTGAGACGCTAATCATGAATGTTAGCACTTTTGTGTAGTCCTACAGATCGGTGATGCTCAGTTTTATGTGTCAACCTGACTGGGCCGTGGGGTCCAGATTCCAGGAATTTCTCTGCTGTGTGGAGCCTCAGGTCCTGAGGATCCCGGCCAGGATAGGCTGCCTTCTCTCCATCGCTCAGTCTTTTAGTTTGTTTTATATGTAACATCCAGGGTTGTTAACTGTACTTAGTGGGAGGAATAGGGAAAATACCTACTTCATTTTTCCAGAAGCAGAAGTCAGGAGTAGAGTCAGTACTTACCTCTTTTGATGTTCAAATTGTCTCATCTTTGGCCAGTGGAACAAGCGATTATTCTTTGATAGGTTCCTTACACTGAAAGGTACTCCAGGCGGGTCCTCCTTGTACCCTCCATGTGCCAACTTTGGCATCAGCCTTTTCTACAAGGGGCCCTGGCTGGTCTGGGCCGGTCCTGGGAGCCCATCTGCCTTAGTCTTCTCGAGCTGCTATAACAATGCCACAGACCGGTGGCTTACACCACAGAGATTTCTTTCTCACAGTTCTGGAGGCTGGGAAGTTCAAGATCAAGGTGCCAGAAGACTCAGTTCCTGCTGACAGCCCTCTTCCTGGCCTTGTAGACAGCCACCTTCTTGTTGTATGCTTACATGGTCCTTATCTGGTGGTGTGTGCATGTGGACAAAGGCTTCAGTATATGAATTCTGGAGGAACATGAACATTCAGTCCATAACATTGGCAATGTTCCTCTTGCCAATGAGTGGTTCAGGCATGGTCGCTTCTCTCTTCCTAAAGAAGATGGCAGTGGCTAGGCGCAGTGGCTTACACCTATAATCCCAGCACTTTGGGAGGGCAAGGCAAGTGGATCACCTGAGGTCGAGACCGGCCCGACCAACGTGGAGAAACCTCGTCTCTACTAAAAAAAAAAAAAATACAAAATTAGCTGGGAATGGTGGCACATGCCTATAATCCCAGCTACTCGGGAGGCTGAGGCAGAAGAATCACTTGAACCCAGGAGGCAGAGGTTGGTGAGCCGAGATCGCACCACTGTACTCCAGCCTGGGCAAGAAGAGTGAAACTCCGTCTCTAAATAAATAAGATGGCAGTGAAACCTGGGCAAGAAGAGCAAAACTCCATCTCTAAATAAATAAATAAAAGATGGCAGTGAAACAAGGGCAATCTCCTTTCTGTACGAGGGGCATTTGGCTTTGGGGCGGCCAACTTGCTGCTAGCCTGAGGACATGGCCAGAGGGCAAAGACAGCAGAGCCAAGAGCATCCCAGGTCTGGGAGACAGAACCCTGATTTTCCTCTCATTAGACAAGCAGATGCATTTTGGTCCTCAGTTGGCCTCACCTGTGACCTCCTTCAATCAGCAACTGAGAAAAGAAAATGAGCGATGGACCAAGGAGGCCCGTATGTCACTTGTTTCTCTCACCAAAACCCTTGATCTGAACCCAAACAGAACCCCTGCACACATTCCTTTATACTTCTGTTTATTTTTCCTGCTCATGAAAACAGCCAACAATTGCCTTTCGAGGGAAGGGAAGGTAATGCTGGGAAACGTCCTCAGAAGCCCTGAGCCTAGTTCTCAAGAGAGAAGTGAGGCAGCTGGGGATCTGGGAGGCCAGAGTCCAGGCCAGGACCTCGGCATCCTAGAACTAGGGCTGCCTCCTGAAGAGCAGTTCAGAGGCAGTGATTCCATACAGGCAGGGCGGCTTCACACAGGCCTGGAATGCCCTTCTCCTCAGCCCAGGGAGCTCATTAGGGTCTGGGCCTGCTTCAGTTCTGTAGAGGGAAGAGGTGAGCAGCTGGGAGGCAGTCAGGCAGGATCTGGGAGAGCCTCTCACCCGTCGAGGAAAGCTGAGCCTCACCTGTCAGGAGGACCTGGAACTTGTCTGCTGAGAGGGACATGGCAACAGGCTGGGCTGGGGTCCCTGGGGCAGCTGCCACCTCCAGCCGCAGGTGCACCATGGGCTCCTCCACGGACCGCAGCAGGCTGGAGCTCAGGGTGTAGTCCACCCGCCAGCCCACGCCTGCCAACCTATTCACTGTGAGATAGGGTGGGTGGCTCTCAGGACCAAAGGCAGGCAAGCCAAGTGGCTCTCAGCTGACACCCTGGCTAAGCTCTCAACCCTTCAAGGCTATGTGGCCTCTAAGAAGCTCCCATCCCGCTGACCCAGGCTCATAACAGGGCAGGTGCCCGATAATCAGTTCGGATCACCTACAGCAGACCTCAGTGGCAAGAGATCTTGGCTGGACTCTGGGCTGGAGTCAGGAGACCCAGGGCCAGGTCCCAGCTCTATGGCTGCTAGTAACCATGTGACCATGGTTAAGTCATCTCCCTGGAACTAGCACTTTGCATGCTGCATGCACCTTCTAGAATGAGCCCAGACCCTGGCTGGCCTCATACTTACTGCGTAGGCTGCAGACCCGCAAGTGCTTCTGCAAGGGGCTTTGCTTTTCCTCATAACAGCGGCACAGGCTGGCCGCGTGCTCTGGGGATAGAATGGAGTAGCTCTGGAGGTAGCAGGTGGGGGCTGGGCTTGGGTTCCTGGCCCAGACAGGGCAGGGTACACCATAGGGTCACAGGGCCTGGCCCCCTCTCTAGCAGCCCTTGGCCCATAGGCTGCCCAGCTGCCCACCCACAACCCATACCTTTGGGCAGCCCCAGCTGCTGCAGTTCACTGGACAAAGATTCGCCATCGACACTGTGCTTGGCCGCACTGGAGAGGATGAAACTCAGCACTGCCACTGTGGCCTTCACATCGCCTGACTCTGAAGGACCCATGGGTGGGACAGAGGGTGTCGCTGTGGCCCCAGCCACCTCCCTGTTGCCCTATTAACTTCAGCTCAAAGCCCCCAGGCCTCCTGGAGCCACAGGCACTGCTCCTGCTCCACCAGGTGCTGGCAGAGGACAGGAAGGTGGGACTGTCAATGTCTTTCTTTCCCTCATGCTCCTCCACTAGGGAAGGCAGGTTAAGGATGCTGCTGGGAGGGGTGGGGGGGTCCCTCTGTACCAGGCACCAGGCCGAGGTCCCAAACTTGCCTGGGGCCTGTGGACTCAGCGGGGTACTCACCAAACTTGGTGTCAGCCGTGAGCTTCAGGATCTTCTCATACTATAGGGAAAGGAGACCTTCAGGGGGTGCCAGGCCCATGCTCACCAGCCCCTCACCCCCAGCCTGGGTCCCGTGATAAGGAACAGATAGGCTGGAAAGAAGTATGGGAGGTGCCCAGAGAGGTTGACAGGCTGGGTCACCCGTCTCCCTGGGCCTAGTGCAGAGCTTCAGGGCACTGGGGGTCATAAGGTCATGGGACAATGGGGTGCTGGGTCTTGTACTCACATCAATTCCCTGCCCCAGCAGCTCCTTTAGTACCTGGCTGCAGAGAAGCCGCAACTTCACAGAGGACTGCAAGAGAATTCCTTAAATCAGCCAGGCTGGCGAACCTCACCCCTCCTTCCTGGGGACTGGCTCAGAGCAGGCCAGCTGCTGATCAAGGTCACAAAGCATGATAGCACAGGCTGAGAGCACTGAGGCCCTAACCCCAGAAACCTCACCATCCTCTACACCCACAATCCCCAGCCCAGCGCCCCTCCTCCACCCAGACTAGACCCTGTGCACTCAACCATCTTGGCCAGCGTGCTGATCTCAGCCAGGACCCAGTCGGGACAGTCCAGATCACCACAGAACCGGAACCTCTGCAAGGGAGGGAGGCAGGTAATCAGGCTGCAGGGACGGCTGAGGTGTGGCCAGGATCCGTGTCTCCCACACTGCTGCCCAGCAGGGACCCCTGGTCCCCATCATAGGTGGATACCCTCTGGCCTCTTGTTCTCCCCTATCACCAGGCTGTTGAGTGAACTCTCTCCTGACCCACCCTGCCACCAAACCCTGCTCCGAGGTCTACTCCAGGCATTCGTCTGCTCAGCAAACATCAATCGAGCACCTTCTCTGTGCTAGCTCCCACTGAAAGCGCTGGGGTACAGCAGGGGATAAAACAAAGTCCTCTGCCTCACACAGATGAGTAACCTCTCTCCCCTCTTCCCCATACCCGCACAACTCCAGCGACTCCGGCTTCCCTGCTGCTGCTCGGGGACACCAGCCTTGCTCCTGCCTCCATGCCTGCTGCACTCTGTGTGGCTTGGTATCCCCTTTTTTTTTTTTTTTTGAGACAGAGTTTCACTCTTGTTGCCCAGGCTGGAATGCAATGGTGCAATCTCCGCTTCCCAGGTTCAAGTGATTCTCCTGCCTCAGCCTCCCAAGTAGCTGGGATTACAGGCATGTGCCACCACACCCAGCTAATTTTGTATTTTTAGTAGAGACAGGGTTTCACCATGTTGGCCAGGCTGGTTTTGAACTCCCGACCTCAGTT